TGTGTGTGTGTGTGTGTGTGTGTGTGTGTGTGTGTGTGCAGTTGTACATACATAGAGAGACATATTTCTGTACAGTGCTCTTTACTCGGCTCACACTTTCACCACAACAAGTCTTTGCTATTTTATATTGTATATTTCCCCACAGTACTGCATACTAAATATCTTTCCAGTTCTCTTGGCTGGTTCTGGAAGTTGTCATGGGGTCGTGGAGCTGTGGACGTTGACGTGAACTCTCGTGCTCTTTCAGGGTGTTGTTTATTTGCATGAACAGAAAGAAGGCGTGCTTGCAATTGCAAAGCCAATCATATTAGGCTCATCACTCAATACTTTAGATAACGACAGGTTAATTTCTTCTTTATTGCAAGCCTACACATCTACCAAGAGACGTATCTTCACAATAATGCAGACTGTACGTGTCGCCGAACTGCATTGAAAACCAAATAGAAAAACCATAACAATGATAGAACGAAATTTTGAGTCTTAATAAAATACCCTATGTAATTGTATTTGTGTATTGTCATTGATAATGTTTACACATACGTTCTTCTGCCTCTTCCCCTCCTTTTGTAAACGAGATTGAATGAAATGTTCCTCATTCACCACCAAATTGTTTCGTTCTTTCGCGAATGAGTCTTGTTCAATCTCTATCAGATTCAAACCAGCGACTTATTCAGTAAAGGACGCATTTGTTCGTATTTGTACAGTAGGTTACTAATGAAATACTTAACAGAACGGACCTGAATGCTTTTTTTCCGTTTCTGTCAGTTTTTGAAGGCAGGAAAAGGTAGTCACGCGCTTCTAAGGGGACGATTGAGTGAACGAAATTGATTCGTTCATCTAAATGATTCCTTTAAAAACATCGATTCGTTCACAAGATCCGCATATGCTCGCTTTACAGTACGCGCAAACACAATTCATTGATAGCAGCGGCTTAAATGATCCGTCTTTGAATATTAAAGCCTCTTTATTATCATCCTCCATTTGCACTCTGATGATAACTGGGGATTGTTACACTTTAGTCCTCCGAATATCGTTTATTAAACAAAAAACGACTGTGCATGTCACATACATTTTATATTATAAGTTATTTATTAATGTGCCGGTGCTGCTTATAACATCACTGTACACGTAAGGTGTTTTGGGTGCATTGTAATTCTAGTCATTGTTGTGGGTTTGTAACCATATACGTGCGCTGACCTGTCTTGAGATACGCTGATAACACCGTCCTCTTTGGGGATGATCACAGCCGTATTCACCACATCTTGGAAACCCTCGATCTTACTCAACAGGACGGGCTTTCGTGTCTGCGGACGGGGATGAATCTCTGCTGCCATGGCGCTGTAGTTTCTGCGTCACCTGAATCCTCTCTCGGCAGCATAACACGCTGAGCGCAGGTCGGTGAATAGACCTGCAGGCGGTCAGGGATGCTGCAGGACAGCTGATTACCTCTCACAAGCCCGTTCTGGTTACATTCAAACACGATCTCTATGCCATGTCCCCTAAAGACATGCACGTGTTCTCCTCTCACTCTCCACGTACACAGACGATCCGACTTTTGGAAGAGTCGCAGATGCATGCGTTTGCAATGTGCAGCGTTGACTCCGACGAATACCACATTTGTAGAAGCGGAAGTTGAACGTCATTTCTTTTTCCATTTCATTGACATTTGTACAAAGGTTCATTGCACCAAATCTTGTACAGTTGTGCCTTTTGTTCAATGAAAACAATTAAACGAATCCTTTATGTTAGTTAAGTCTATATTGTTTTCTTTTTTTCTCTACATTTCTAATGAATACTTTGTTCTCAACAATAAAACCACAGAGTGGAAATTGTTCTATTTATATTTAGGCCTTATCATGTGCAGACAGGCATCACAGAACTATTCTCTCAACTCTGCAAGAAAGCCAAACTAAATGTCTGCATCCCTTACTAGTTTCATTTTCCTTTAGCCTACTAGTTTTATATCCATTGCTAGTTTTAAAATATATCATTTTGCAGTTTATGTGACCAACAGACATGCAATTTATGCATATATTCGGCTGTGGGTTTTATAACTAAGTTCCTCATATTAATTGGGAAAGTTGCATGCCAGAGTGTTAATATCTAGACCAGCTGACATATAATGCTAACTGGCAAACTATCAAATGACAATTGGTCTTTTCCAGGTGCATTTTCTGTATATGCTTTCATGGACTGGTTATAACTCCAGTGAAATGTATAGGATTTAGAATTACTTGCACATGATCTGCACAGTGCTGTTGTTTTGGTTGGCTTGCTTTTTTATATATCCTCTAACTTATA